GTTGTAAGTCCACAGACATACCGCTGTGCCACTGGGGGGGGGGGCTAAACTGTAGAAGGAGTTATAAAATGGTGTTCAAAATAAGGGATTTTCAGTGTATGTAAAAAAAAAAGAAATAAAAATTGGTGTTGTTTCTTCAGTTTACATAAAGACGAGCGCTGTGCATTTGATGATGATTAAAATATTATAGATAAAGCAATTTGTGTAGGTGAATTTAGTTTAAAAACTTTTTTAACCTTATGAGGAAAAGCGGTAGTCGCAAATATTTATTGACTATCAATACAACGCTCCATTAAAGGTTCAGTTAATCGCAATAAAAAAAATACACGTACTTTTTTCTCTCGGTTGCATCAGCGACAACTCTGTTGTTGCTGGGTCTTTTACATATTGCCCATCCACTCCAGGAATTCTTTGTAATTGAAGATACGCCTCACCTTCGAAGTCGTTTCTTGTCACTACGTCATGATCCATAACAACGAAACACACAGCTACACCATCTCGCCTACAGCGGTCTGCAGCAATATTGCTAAATAAATTGATACATATTAAGAAAGAGCAAATTTTGTAAATAGATTCACTGAAATGTTTATTATTTAATAAACCACCTAAGTGTATTCGTACAGGACTTAAAAACTTGTTTTGATAACCTTGGACAAATTGATGAAAATCCCATTGCTAAGATTTTAATGAAATGCTTGAATACTTGAATGCCTATCGCATTATTTTATCGTGAAGGATTAAGAAAAACAAGAAAAAGCGAGCAATGCTCTGGGATGATTTATAAAACTATAATAATATGATCTAATTATTTGCAACAATATTAGAACGTATTGAACAATTTGTTTAGAGTAAGTACAATTTTCAAAATGTTTGCAACATTTTGTGGGAACTAAATGAAATGTTTTCGCAATAAATAGAATCGTTTTTTAAACATTACATTCTATTAACAATAACAGACAAAGAACAAAAGGTTATTGTTTATACATTTATATGACTAAAACGCCTTCATATAGCATATTGCGGTTTAAACCTTGAGCCTTTTCATCCGTAGCTCGGCATGTTAACCATTAGATCAATTATACACAGATGTGGACGATTGCAGAAAATTTGAAATATTTATTAAATATAGAATTTTTAGTTTACAACAACTCTCAAGAAATGAAAAAGGGATTTTAACAGTTTGAACCCTTTATATTGATACTCTTGTAATGATAATACATAAGTCTTAGTAGACTTAAAGTGATGTGATAAATCTCTGACATATTTCAGGATTTTTTGACACAAACTGATATGATAAATCTCTGACATATTTCAGGCTTTCTAGACACAAACTGATATGATAAATTTATTACATATTTCAGGCTTTCCAGACACAAACTGATATGATAAATCTATGACATATTTCAGGCTTTCTAGACACAAACTGATATGATAAATCTATGACATATTTCAGGCTTTCCAGACAAAAACTGATATGATAAATCTATGACATATTTCAGGCTTTCTAGACACAAACTGATATGATAAATCTATGACATATTTCAGGCTTTCCAGACACAAACTGATATGATAAATCTATGACATATTTCAGGCTTTCTAGACACAAACTGATATGATAAATCTATGACATATTTCAGGCTTTCCAGACAAAAATTGATATGATAAATCTATGACATATTTCAGGCTTTCTAGACAAAAACTGATATGATAGATCTACAGCACATTTCAGGCTATCTAGACACAAATTAATATGATAAATTTTTGATACAGTTCAAGCTTGCTAGTTACTTCGAATTAATATGATAAATCTGAGACACAGTTCAGGCTTCCTTGACATAAACTGATATGATAAATCTATGACATATTTCAGGCTTTCTAGACAAAAACTGATATGATAGATCTACAGCACATTTCAGGCTATCTAGACACAAATTAATATGATAAATTTTTGATACAGTTCAAGCTTGCTAGTTACTTCGAATTAATATGATAAATCTGGCACAGTTCAGGCTTCCTTGACACAAACTGATATGATAAATCTACAGCACATTTCGTATGCTCAATGTTAATACACATTTCATTTATTATTAATTACGTTTTTTTATTGATGTAGAATAAAAACCTTTATAGCAATAGAAATTACAGACGTCCAAGTTTTAACACTGAATTTTACTTTAGTATGATATATATATATATTTCTAATGAAATATACTGCTTTTCACGTATTAGATGTAACGTGAGTTTTCCATTCTTTTGATCCTCGTAAAATTAATGGACTTATAGTTACAATTCTTTTTTGTCCTTTTACCTGCCTATTACCATACTTTCAAACAGTAATGCAAGGTTAGTTATTGTGCACCTGTACTTTTCTTATTTTTGAATTATTATGCAAGACAATGTTATAATAACAGTCACCAAATATTTTGTCGTATGCCTTTTTGATTATGCGACTTAGATAAATTTCGTGTTTTAAGTATAAATTTAAGTGTTGACACGTCGAAACATGTAGAGTCATTATTTTGAAATTATTTTAATTGTGTATATATTTCAACGTTTTATGTGTATTATTTTAACATTATGCACAAGTGCCGATATAAACGTATATATATATATATAAGTTATTGGATTAGTTAGAAAAGAAGTGTTTAAGATTATTTTGTAATGTGCCAGCATGTTGATTGTGCTATAAAGTTTCATCTTTTGTGAACTTCAGCGTTGTATATTGTATGCTAAATTTCTTTAAATGTTCTTATTTGCAAGGAACAAGCCCATCAGAGAAGATCAACATCAAAACGACGACAAAAACAGCAAAAACATTTTGCTTCCAGCTGAATACTTACAACTCAAAGCTTTCATCAAAGATGGGATATAATGTCTTCTTCTGAATCTTGGTCATCTGCCGTGGACAGTCAGGGAAAAGGTGACGAGGAACCAACTCAATTATAACAAAAGGATCACTGAACCCTAAAAAATTAAACGAAGTAGTTTACGTGTCTACAAAGACTTCGATTATTGTTTTTGGAAAAAAAAATCATGTTGCAAAGCAACAAATTTAAATAAATCCACAAAAGTAAATTTTATAATACCATTAAGTTCCGTATCGTTCAATCGATTTTTGAAAATTCTTAAAACACGTTTTATATTATTATAGATAATTATAGATTATATCAATCTTGTATGTTTTTTCTCAGTAATTATTTTTGAATAATATACCTTATATTACTGGACATATATTGAAAAAAAAAACGTACCTGTGAATGTCAGAATTTAAAGAAGTATTTTAAGTCACTTGTAAGTGGTTTTTAATAGTTAACTCGTATGATAACATTGGAAAACAATGCTTTATTTTATTTCATTGTGGTTTCTGCTAATCGAATCAATAGCATTATAGTTTAATAAGATGTGCCAGGATTCAATAATCTATAATAATAGCAGTAGTTTTATGCTAAAGGTATACATTACTAAGCTTACATCGGTATATATTAAGCTTTCATTTCATAAACTTATTATTCATTCCACACATTTCCTCGTAAATACGAAAACGTGGCGCGAAGTTCTTTCAGTTACAAAAATCACTGTGAGAAAAGTAACTTACCATTAGGATCCAGTGGTCTTAAATCTCGGGCGTTCATCACTGAAATGCAAAACGTGTTCATGTGGATAAGCATTAAAAAACTTTCCCTTCGACTCAATTTAATGATACCTCAATAAAACTTCAGGCGATGTAAATGTAATTTTTTAAATAAAGATAATTTATGCATTTGTAAAACATTTCCATATATATATTTCAACATAAATCTAAAGTACACACACACACACATATATATATATATATTAATAGCACGAAAGTATTTAGAAAACAGTTTCCTTAGTCTTTTATATGCCACAATAAGGTGAAATACAGAGAAGGTTATAAATAATCCCAGAAATCGATAAAAAAATATCTTGCGTAGCCCATATTAAAAGTATTTGGAAATAACATTTTCTCACACATTTAAAAACTGGAACAGAACAATAGACAAAAATACAGTAAACTTTACTACCTTATAACTCTTATAACGAAGGGAGAAATATACTAAATATATAATCAATTTGTAGATTGATAAATCTTCAGCTTAATAATGGCTTAGTTCAAAAATTATATAAAGAGTTGGAATATTGTTACAATCCATGTCGTCACGTCCGGCCAGGCTCTATCTCACGACCGTGTTTCGTGATATTAGCCTTGAAGCGTAGTTACTACTGCAAAAGGCTCTGTCGTAAGAGTGTCATTTCCACAGCACAACACTCCGTTCTGAGGTCTTTCCATAATCTATCTAGAGTACAAGAACGATGATTTCCCAGCGCCCTTTTCAACAGTCCGATCGCACAGAAATTCCTAGGCGCTGCGTTCAGCGACTTGAGCGGGTATGTTTTTGTACGGAGTAGTATACGTACTTAGTTCCTTCTCTAGATGCTTGAAGTATGCGACGGGTTCAACGGGAAATGTCACTAAAAGCCTTTTCTTGGTGGAGCCTTACACTATTGGCTTCGTTTCTAGACGTACAGTTTTCATTATTATATGTATAACGTTGCCCGGAGCACGTAGATTTCTTTTGTCACTGACCTTTGTGTTCGTAGACTCTCATCTGTTATAAGACGCCTCGCTTTGCTCAAAGGTTAATATACGAGTTCTTACTTGTCTCTTTCTGGATGGTCATGGTGCCCAAGTGATCCAAGTTCATTTGTTTTACAGTGCCATTAAGTACAAGGGATATTCACCTCTTGTACTTTCTAAACACTCGTTCTGAACACATCTTTATCATCTGATGAAATGAATATGGCATATCAGAAAGGGATGTTACACACCTTATTCAAAAGATATTCATTTTCGGACTTTATATCGGCTGTGTCTGTCCCGTGAATTTCTGATCTGCGTGTTTACAATCGTTTCATTATAACATATTCAACCTCTATGTAGAGCCTCATTTATATATCTGCTTTCTGATATTAAAATCTGGTAGCAATATATCTATTTAGTTTTCTGCGGCTTCATATGGCGAGTATGAATTATTTTGTTATTGTATATCTGTGTTTGTCTGGGGAAATAAAGTTTTAATAGTTTAATATATTTTTCATATGTTAAGTTGATTACATGTGTGTAAAACGAGTTGTTTTCAAAATTGTATTTATATTTACTTATTTCCCAGCAGAGGATGTTACATTATTTTTATCTTCCTAAAAAATATTCAAATTACCTGCTTTGGTGTATTAGTGAAAAGACAGTTTCAATGAAAACATTACCAGGAAATAAACTGCCAAATCCATAGTTTTGTGTGTTTTACAAACTCCAGAGTCCATACCACCATAAAAGCCAATCTACATTTCAGGATTTCTTTGGCAAGAGCTTATCTGCAGAGATAATCGCAATTCCGACTAAACACAGCTCATGAAACGTTTGTTGTATCTATAATACTACATCTTATAGGTGGCACATTTTCATCTAATGTCGTCTAAGAAAAAATTTGTAGTTATTTCTGAATGCAAACGTTTTTGTGGAGTAGTACCTTATTCAACTTACCTAATAATAAGCTTTTAAGTGATCAAAGTGCCGAATAACAAGTTTTTAAAATGTCCAAAGTACCACATTTCAGTGTCTTCGCCTATTTTTTTTTTGTTATGATGTATAAATCACTTTTACAGAAGAGAACTTTTATGAGATGCCATTCATTATCTGAACGAGTTACATAAGTGTAAAACATCTCAGTATGACCGTCAAAATAAATATATGTCTGGAAAAGTTTGGTTCTTATGGTAACATACAAAAGGTAAACAAATACACGCAATCGTAAAAAGTGAATTAAATAATAAATGTTTATACTAGTATTTTCCCCCAGTCTGAAGGCTTATAATGCTAAAAACCTGCTTTCGACATTGTGTGGCTTTGTGATTAACAGCAAAATTACAAAAAATGTATTTTTACGATAACTTAAAAGTTTTAACAAACAGTAATATCTAAGTATAATAATGTAATAGTAATAGCTCCAGATAGTTTTCGCAAGCATGATAATTAAAAATCGTGTCTATCTTTTACGACAGAACATTTTTAGAAAGTTATCATAAGTATTTCCAGGTAACTTTTTTATTGTATACCTTGGCTAGTGTGCTATGATATTTCTAAGGTATAAAGAAAAGAAGATTTACCAGCGGGCTTACCATCAATAGAAAGACTGTCAGACCCAGGATTAAAAACAGCTTTTACAGTTAAATACCCATAATCTCCCTCCAGAAGTCGTTGCTGTTCAAAAAGAAAACAAGCAATATGGATTAAATAAGTCTATGCTTTGCTAAAAACACCAGTATAAAAAAATAACAAAAAACCTGTGACTTGGTAAACAGAATCGATTTACAAAAACCCAACAACAACAACAACATATTTAGTGTTTATTTTGGATAAAAATAATTTTAAGTTTGAAGTGACATATGCGTTAGTTTGACATTTGTTGAAAACAAATACAGATAAATGTATCAAACATATGCCCTTGGTGGTTCAGCGATACGTCAGTGGGCTTATAACGCTAAACATCGGGTTTCGATACCCGCAGTAGGCAGAGCGTAGATAGACCATTGTAATCTACAACAAGCAAACCAAAAATTAAGCATGTGATGCTACACTAAGTTGTTATAAACAGCTATTTAATTTAGATGTTCTTTTATCATGTCTTATCGTAGACTTCTTTGTGAAATTGTAAGTTTATTTTTCAACTAAGATTATTTATCTAAGAATATAGTTATGTTTGGTAATTCTAGCAACAAAAATTAAACTATAAGATCCTTAATATAGTACAGTATGCTATAGTTTTATGCAATATAATTCCACATAATACAGTCTTATATACTACTGTAGAAGTACAAAATGTTTGTGTGTTTTCATTTTGAGAAACACTTAGAATAACGTAAAATTCGACCAATGAAAAAATTATTATGTT